CAAATACGTGATCTTTGATGATTGGGTCTTTGTACTCATCCATGCCAATCTCAGACATGTATCGAGTTTGGCGCTTGAAGCGATGAAGACAGTCCTTGAGGTAGCTCATATCAAGGGGCTTGGAAGCGTGTTCTTTGAGAACCTCGAAGAAACGCTTCTCAGCATCAGCCAGCTTGTCAGTCTCCACAGACGACAGAGTCCACCAGATGATCATGTCTGTGTGCCCCTTGCACCAGAAGTATACCATACTCGCAAGGTGTTCCTTCTCGACGAGTGTGTTGACCAGAACCGAAACAGATGATCCGGCAAGGTAGTTGAGCAGTGTGTTGATGGCAGTCTCTCCAAGGTCGTCGATAGTCTTGGGTCCTAGGAAGGCAATTTGCACTTCACCAGTTGACTCGTCTTCTTCTGGGAACTCGACTGTGTCAACAATGGTCTTGCTCAGGGGTGGAGTGCGCTTCGATTCGACCCATGGACGCTTGAAGGGCGCATCGTAAGCCGGTACGCGATCGATGATTTCGTCTTCGAATTTATCCAGTATGTCCAACAGGTTTGGATGATCGACCTCTCCAATCAATATGACTCGTAGATTCTTGGGCTGATACATGTCTCGGTGGAACTGGCGAATACGCTCTGCAGTGGAGACTCGTAGGTTCTCCATCAATCCACCCGTCTCCATACGGAAGCCATCGCCTTCAGGGTAGAGAAGGCGACGCATCTGGAGATCCATGAGATCGCCCTGCAGGTTTTGACGTCCTTGCATCTCAGAGTAGACAACACTTGGGTCGTTAGCTGGGAGCATGAAGGCGTTGAGAGATACTCACCCTGCATCCTCTCCCTTGCCATCGATGTGATGAACCTCAGTGTAACAACCGGCATCGGTCAGCGTAGGTACGATGAGGTGGTCTAGATAGATAGGTAGCAGCTGTGCAAAACCCTCCCAACCCGCGGTTGAGAGAGTATAGACTGTCTCGGAGACATCCGTCCATGCGTTTGTGTCAGAGTATGATCGGGTGGCGATCTTGTCTAGCACGCCCTTGAAAGGGTATTTCCGCGAACCCATGAAGCAGAGATGCTCAAGGGTATGCGCTACGTCAGTCAGTAGAAGTATTTGAAACACGAGCCATGCTACTCACGTGCACCCGAATCATCGTGGATCTCTGTGGCTACCGCGAAATTTCCGTACACCTTGGGACCCTTTCGATCGACTACCACAACCCGAAGACCCGTCCGTTGGGATTCATACTGAGTGAATGTAGCGTCGGCGTAATTTGCCTCGAACTGCTGCAGCTTCTTGAAGTGCGACTCCTGCTGTATTGACCCCATGATGTCGAAGTTGAAGGAGAAAGGAATTGACAGCGTGAGATTGCAGGTGTACCCTTTGTTGGTGCTGAAGTCGCAGGCACTGGCCGCGTTGCCCGAATTGGTACTACCCTTGCTGTGTTAGCTGGATTGTTGTACGTAGCCCAACGCACTATTATATAGAAAATCACGCTACCGATTCGACCGGGGTCTCCAAGAGAAAAGCAGCCTTAGGTTTTGGGGGCGTGCATTGCGTATACCCATGCTCTACAAGCCTACAGGCCGCGGCCAGTGATTATGCTGCTGAATTTGCAAGCCTACATACCAGCCCGGGTAGCGGTGAGATGGCAGTAAAATGAAAATGACAAAGACTTACGAGAGGATGAGATAGAGTACAAGGAGCAGAGAGCCACTCCGAACAAGGAACGAGGGAATGACGAAGGGCAATATGAGAGGCGAGTTGTCCGGGAGTAGTGCTGCGGCGCCGCTAAGATGCTGCTACCGCGGATTGACTAGATAAATCTGCGCCTAATGAATCTGCTGCGACGTGCGGTTGTCTCCAAACGCACGTGTGCATGTGCCTGTTTCTTCAGCACAAGGGCTTGAGCGTGGCGGGGTAAGTGTGGCGGGGCAGCAACGCTGGAGTTGACGTCGCTTGGACGTCCGTGCAGCTTCAGTGTTGGTCCTGCGACGTTGCGAACGCCGTGCGAACTATCCCGCCGCAGACCCTTTTTAGAATCGACATGACAATCACTCCGTGATTACAAATGCCTTCGCAAGTCTCGGACGAGCAGCTAGGCGACGCGCTGCTCCAGTCGGCCGCGCATGGCGCGTTTCCCCAGGACCAGGATGTCGCGTCCGCAACTGTGCCTTCCAGCGCACTTCCAAAGCTGTTGGAGGTTGTTGCCAAGGCAAGAGAAGAGACGAAGGTGTGTTGAAGTAGCGCGTGCTCCAGGCAACGCTGACCGTTGTTCCAGGACGAAGTACGCCAACTCTCGAGAGAAGCCGCACCCGACGTCGATGGCTGGATAGCACAGGCACGCAAGCTGCAAGACGATATCAAACGCTCGCAAGAAACGGCCAAAGAGATTGTAAAACAAGCAGAGGCAGGAAAGGAGAATACAGCTCGCGTACAGGATGCTGCAAGCAAGGTCAGCCTACTGCACACGGAAATTGCATACAACGAAAGCTTGGCACGTGCTGTAGAGCAGCTTCGAGACATCTCGACCCTACTCGACTCTGCCCAAAGTGCTGCTGTGCATGGCCATGTCATGCATGCCATACAGACTTTGGAAGATGCAGATGGCGCATTCCAGGGACTTGGGCTGTTCACGACTACAAGAGCGGTGGGTGTGCTGAAGAACAAGGAGGAGCAGCTGAAGAAAGCCATCGTGGAGACGGTCACGGAGTCATGGAACGGGCTGATTGCAGTCGACAACACCAATCATAAAATCTCGCTGCACCAGTCGATCGAACGCGAGGCCAGAGTCGATATCAACACAACCGTTGAAGCGCTTACGAAGTTGGGTCTCCTGGACAGCTTCGTTACCCGCTTGAGCCGTGACCTGGACAAGATCATAATCGCTCCCCGACTGGCTATAGGCACCGACCGCGTTGTGTCCGCCTTCAACATCCAGGAAGATGTTATCCAACGTGCTGGCACGGTGAATGATGGTGCGGTCAAGGCTACCTTGGAGGATATGCACTTGCTTGCTGAGTACCTGAGCACGCGTCTACCGCCTAGCATCGCCGTTCCGCTGTCCTCAAAGATCGTTCCGATCATTGCTTCTCGTTTAATTTCGAACCTGCTTTTGCCTGCCGTGCCGTTATCAACAGACGGGATACCACAATTTCAAGAATCGCTCTCATATGTCTTGGGCTTTGTGGAGTATCTCGATGAGCTCGGCTGGTCAGGCCAAAGTCGTCTAGCTGAATGGGTAGATAAGTCTGCCGAGATATGGCTTGCTAAACAGAAAGAGGATGCGATCGCTCGAGTACAAACGATGTTTCCGAAGAAGGTGCAAGAAAAGAAGACTGTTGAACGGGTCGAGACGCAAGTCATCTCAAAGGGTGATGCATTGCATGCTGGCAACGAACAAGAGGATGACTGGGCTGCTGATTGGGACGAGGAGGGTAATGTCGCAGAAGAGAAGAAGGAGACTATCGAAGAAGAAGATATGAGTGCTTGGGGTGAGGATGATGATGTGATTGGAGATGAACCCAAAGAGCAAGAGGCGAAAGAAAAGCCAGCTGATGCAGAGGATGCAGATGATTGGGGCGCTGATTGGGATGACGAGGCTGATACCAAACCCACCACAACGCCGAAGCCTGCAGCACATACAACGGAGCAATCGAATACGAACGGAAAACCTGCCTCTCAAAAACAGCCGGCGCACCAGGAGGTCACCCTTCGGGAGACATATACAGTGACGGCGATCCCAGATGCCATAATGGAGATAATATTGCAGGTCATTGCAGAAGTAGACACGCTGAACTCACCCGAGCTGGTCAAGTCTGCAATCGCACCCGCAAGCGGGGGTCTATATGCGATTCCGAGCCTCCTGTTGGCAATGTACCGAGCTACTGCTGTGATGCATTACTCAAAAGATATCGCCAGTAACATGCTCATCTACAACGACTGCCAGCGGCTATCGGATCGTCTGAGACTCTTTCTTCAAGAACAAGCTGAAAGAGATAAATCGTCTACATTGCCACAGCACTTGCGACCTTCCAAACGCCTCCAACCACTGATCGAATCTGACGTCAAGACGATTGACGGATTTGGAAAGCGTGCATACGGACGCGAGATGGAGTCACAAAGACAAATCATTCGGGATCATCTTGAAGATGCGCAAGGCTTTCAAGGCTGTACGAACGTACCGTTCGCTACAGTCTGTGATGACGCTATCGCTACTACGATAGATCGCATAGGTGATGTGAAGCGACAGTGGCAGAATGTCCTTTCACATAGCGCTCTACATCAGTCACTTGGCTCGTTGGTATCGGCTGCCCTCACAAAGTTCATCAACGATGTTGAGGACATGTCAGATATTGCAGAAGATGAGTCGAGGAAGTTACACGGGTACTGTGTCTCGCTTGCTACTCTATCCCAACACTTCCAGACCGAGGATGGCAACGGAGAGACAAGAGACATGGCCGGTATCTACACGCCCAACTGGTTCAAGTTCCAGTATCTCAGCGAAATTCTGGACAGCAGCCTTGCGGATATCAAATACTTCTGGACGGACGGCGAGCTGAAGTTGGAAATGGAAGCTGAAGAGGTGATTGGATTGATCGAGGCTCTATTTGCGCCTAGTGATCACCGGAGGAGAGCTATCGCTGAGATCAGGAGAACCAGTATGACTTAGTAAATGACAATTTTCGTGAAGGAAATAACACAGCGATCTTCCTCTTGAGCGCATGCGCAGTGCTATAGTGATAGATTGACCCCAGTTCCCAGTCAGTCTTCTAAAGCACCGAAATCCTATGCCCGACTATCATCAGACTTTGATACTTTTTAGATAGATTGAACTACTGAAGAGACATGATCTATAGTACCACGAGCGGAGGTTCACGAACGCCGACTGGCTGGCTTCTTCCGCGCTAACCGGATTCGAAAAAAAGTTCGAGATCCCAAAATTTCCTAAGCTTCGTAACTTCAACACCAATCAACATATACCGCCAAACCCGCCGACGCCATGGATATCGACGCCGCAGAGACCAAGGTGCAGATTCGCCTTACGACGCGCGATGCTGCTCTGCAGATTTCGGAGGAGCCGAACATCCTCTTGGTTCAAACATGTGAGTAGAAATACCGGAAGCCTAGTCGCATGTCACGGCCTCTAGCCACCTACTGCAGCATGTTCGCGTAGAAATGCGAGCCGTCGCGACTACGCTGCTGTGGTTTCAGGCTACAAAGCGCTGCGCATTCCGTCCAGATCCAGAGCTAACGCGGATGCGCCCACAGCTTTGACTCGACACAAGCTTTCCACACTTGTGAACGAACTTCTGCACCGCGATGACGGCAGTCGCATACCCTTTGACATCCTGATAAACGGCGAATTTCTCCGAACCACAATCGACGAATTCCTTACCAAGAATGGTATCAATGCCGAATCGACGCTGGACGTTGAATACACGAGGGCTTTGGTGCCACCGCTAAACGTCACGAGCTTCGAACACGACGACTGGGTTTCGGCCGTGGATGTTTTGTCAGGAGTGCAAAGTGGGCAAGAAAGGATATTGAGCGCAAGTTATGACGGACTGTTAAGAGTTTGGAATACCTCGGGCGATGTTTTGGCGACTTCAGAGGCTCCCAACAACGGTGGTCGAATTACAAGCTTGAAGACGGCTAAATGGTTGTCGGAGAAGAAGATGGTAGCTGCGGGGCTGGACAATACCGTGCGTGTCTACAAGTACGACGATGATGCGAGGACTATCACCACAGCTCTCGAGCTGTTCAACCACCGCTGGGGTGTAGAAGACGTCGCAGTCCATGCGCCTTCGAGTCGCATTCTCTCCGCCTCCTCGGATACCACTATCTCGCTGTTCTCGAGCAACGCAAAGGAGAACCCCGTCGCGCCGGCGAATTTCCTGCCCAGTTCAACGGCTGCGTCGAACAAGCGACAGAAGCTTTCAAAGCCCGATCGCACGGTCCCCGCTCGCGGAGCGCTGGCCACATTCAGCGGCCACACTTCGCCGGTATCTAGCGTCATTTTCAAACCAGATGATGCTACAGTCGCATACTCGGCATCTCACGACCACACACTCAAAACCTGGGATCTGCCTACCCAATCGTGCGTAGACACCCGAACGACCGGTCACTCGCTTCTCTCCCTATGCGCCATCCCCTCCCGAAATCTGCTTGCAACCGGTACCTCAGCACGACACATCACATTGGTCGATCCCCGCGCCTCTGCCACGCAAATCAGTGTCATGACACTACGAGGCCACAAGAACGGTGTTGTTTCTTTGGATACGGATCCATCTTCCGAGTACAACCTGGCATCTGCTTCGCATGACGGAACCGTTCAGATTTGGGATCTCAGGAACGTCAGCACGGGCGGACAGGTTGGAGAAGGAATGACTGGTGAGAGTGTGTACACGATCTACAGGCAAGGACGCGAAAGTGCCAAGAGTCATGGCGAGGGCGCGAAGGTCTTCAGCGTAAGATGGGATAGTGCAGTGGGCATTGTCTCGGGTGGTGAAGATAAGAGGGTGCAGATTAACCGCGCTCTCGGCTCGTAAGAGTTGAAAGTTCTCGCTGGTAGAAGTGCCATCGTATGGGTGTTTGGGCGCATATCGTAGATACCATTTTGGCTAGGGAAAAGTGTAGCTTCAATTCTTGAACGCGTTGCCCTCCATCGATGTTTCATTTGACTTGGGTGATGCTTCTGCAAGCGATTCAGGCCGCAGAGACCTCAGACTCGTGTGCAGCACAATGCTTTCCCCCGTACGTGGGTGAACGCGATCAAAAGGGTATCAAGTAACCGCTCCCACCAACCACCTCCATTCCTCTTTCACAGTCATCGTTCTCCCCTGTTGGCGCACAGCATTCATCCTGTGCCCACGGCATCATAGTGTTGTACACCCTCTTCAGCCCAAGTCTACCATAGACTGCCAGTCGCGCTCGTAGTTATTCGATAGACGCATCTTATACTTGCACTCCGATGTCTAACCAAGAGATCCCATCTCAGTCGTCGCAACTCATACCAAATGTCCCGGCAACAAGAAATTCGCAACACCCTCTTTAACCGCATACTCGTGCTCACACGCCCCGCACACCAGCTTGCCTTCTTGTATACACGTCTCAAGCAATATCCTGTGTAGATCCTTCGCTGTCTGGCTTGGTTCCTCTTCTATCTCTTCGGTCGCGCCCGCTGGTGTCGCATCCGTGGTGTCTAACGCTAAAGCGGAGGAAGAAGTAGGTTCGACGAGATCGGCGGGCGTGGGTGCTGTTGCGGGGAGTTCAGGAAGACCAAGCTATTTGTCACATATCTGTCAGCTTGCTGTTCAAAGGTTTCGGAGTATCTGTATCTCTTTGGAGACACAATGCGCGTGGGCTTCGCGCCTGGTGGGTGCATTTTATTTCGCGTACCTCGCTGCATATCCCCCTCAACTCATCCCACATGATCCTCGGTAGTATGTTCTTGAGAAACGCGAGGTTGACATCTGCTTCTACGATTTCGAGTTCGGCATCGCGGGGGTGGAGCGGGAAGGACGCGGGGTTGGTTTTGCAGGTTTTGATGGCGCATGTGAGGAAGTTGAGGGTGAGGAGCTTCATTTTGTGTGTTTTGTTACGAAAATCGGGTTGGATTCGGCGCTTTCGAGTTCCGTAGGTTTGTTGTGAAATGCGTGGTTTTGGCACTGGTTTGGGGCTGGACGCTTTGCGACAAATAATTTTTGGCCGCGGGAATGTTGTCTCCTACTCCCAGCCCTGTGGAGCCAATCAGAGCCTCGCCTGTAGGGGGTCTTTCCCGGATAGGAAGGTATGCGAAAACTGTGGATTGCAGCAGGGAGGGCAGTGTGGAGACCGCTAGCCCTGTAGACGAGGCCCTGATTGGCTCGACAGGGATACTTTCCCGATCGGGCAACTATGCAAAGACTATCGATCGCGTAAGAGAGAGAGAGCAGAGGGCAATATAGAGAGAATGCAGGTTACCTAACTATAGAATTTGCTAAGGTAGACTATAGCTAAGATACTAGGCTACTTTATACTAGCGTGTATATATAAAATTATATTTAGATTATAATTTAAAACTAAACTTTTTTACTTCTTACTTACTTACTTACTTACTACTTACTAACTAACTAACTACTATAGTATTATATAGCTTTATAAGTAAGACTATTAAAAAGCTATTTTAATATATTTTAAAAGCTTTCTAATAATATATAAAATAATTATAAGTAATACTTAGCCTTTACTACTTTACCTCTAAGTTACTTTAGCTATAAATTTAATAACTAGAACTAGCCTATAGTTAACTTTAGTAAAGTTATTTACTACTATAAAGAGTTTAGCGCGCTATATAAAGTAAATTATATTAAAATACTTTTATATTACTTTCTAAACGCTTTTTAATAATATATAAAAGAGAATAAAGTTTTATAATTTTATTTATATTTACTTTTTTAATATTTATAAGTTTTATAAAGTAGTACTTTTAAAAAATAAAAAAAGTAGACTAAACTAGAGAGTTATTACTTTTACTAAGCGTAAGTATTAAAATACTATTATAATACTTTTAGAAAGCTTTCTAATAATATATAAAATAGTATAATAGGCTCTAAGTTAAGTATAACTATATTTTTACTAAGCGTTAAGCTACTACTAAAGCTACTACTCTAGCTTACTAATAAGCTTTTATAATAGTTAAGAAGTTAAAGCTAATTTTAAAATTAACTAGTAGTTATAAAGAAAAAATAAGTAGATTAAAACGCTATTTAAATACTATTTAAAAGCTTTCTAACTATACTTTATAATTTAATCTTAAGTAAATAATAAGTATTATACTTACTACTAGTTATATTATACCTTACTTTATCTATATAGAAAAGTATAAAACTAATAGTAAGAGTAAAAATACTAAAATACGCTTTAAATACTTTACTAATACTTTTTAGTCTACTACTTTAAGTATAAAAGAAATAGATTTAGTAATAAAATTAATAGTAGCTATTACTATAAGAATATTAGCTACTAGAAGTTATCTTAAATATATAGTTTCTAGTAAGTCTAATAGTATTTTATAAAATAGAAATATCTACTTTTTATAAAAAATCTTTCTAAGCTTTAAAATTTAAAATAATATATATTTTTATAGTTTTCTTAAAGTAAATATACTAAAAAGTATTAGAAGAGTATTTAAAAAGTATTTTAGTATACTTACTAGTTAATTTCTTTTTCTTACACTAACTATATACTTTAGTAATACTTTACTTTAAAAGTATCTTTCTATAAGTATTATAGTTTAGCTAAATAAGTAAAAAATATAGCTTTTAATATAATAAAAAGGCTTAGCTTACTACTTTTTTTTAAACTTTATAATTACTTAATTTATATCTTAGTAAAGATACTACTAGTATAACTTCTACTTTTTTACACTTACTACTTCTTAAAAAAAGTAGCTTTAAAAGTTTAAGCTTTTTAAAAAGCTTTTAAGTTAGTAGTAAAGGTATTAGAGTAAGTAAGTAAAAAGAGTATATTAAAAAAGTAATTAAAATACTTTTTTATAGTATATTCTCTTTAGAAGTCTCTTTTAGCTAGCTACTAGTAGTATAGATTTTTAAAATCTTTTTATAAAAAATAAAAGTAGCTACCTTTACTATAAGTAATAAGTAGCTAGCCTTTTTAGTCTCTACCTTATACTATAAATAGTACTTCTTAATATAAGTAATAAAAAAGTTATAATCTAAGAACTTTCTCTAAATAGTATTTAGAATATATTTATAGTACTTTTATAAGAGCTAACTTACTCTATAAAGCTTTTTACTATTTTTTTTTTAGTAGTAATAGTAAAAGAGCTTTTTAATAAAAATAATATACTTACTATTACTATCTTTCTCTTTAAACTTTATTAAGCTTTTTAGTAAAGAAAAAAAAGTAGCGTAGTTTTAGTATATTTTCTAAAATATAATTAAAGTACTTTTAGATAGTATTTTAGTATATATATATATTCTAGAGTAGTAGCTTATTACTTATAGTAGGTAGTAGAAAAGAAGAAAAAATAAGAGAGAAAAAAAGATAATAGAGTAAGGTTTAATCTAGAAAAAAATAAGAGGCTAGCCTAGTATCTATACTTTAATTACTTAGCTAATAGATTTAGAAAAGTAAAGTATTAATTAGTAGAAAGCTTTTTAAAAGTATTCTAAAGGCTATTTTCTTCTTAGAGTTCTAAGATAGCTTAATCTCTTCTATTTATTAATACTAGTAGTTATAAGTATTAAAACTCTTATAAAATAGTATACTATAAATAAAGGTGTAAATAAGAAGTTATATAGTATTACTAAGAAGTACGCTAAGATTATAAAAAGAGTAGTTAGATACTTTTTAAATTTTATACTATTTTATAAAAGTTTTAATACTTATAACTACTAGATAGTAATTAGTAGAAGGCTTTCTAAAAGTATTTAAAAGGCTATCTACGCCTTAGAGTTCTAAGGTAGTTTAATCTCTACTTTTCTTCTTTTTATCTTAAAAGCTAGTATTTTTTCTTAAAGTTATAGTTACTACTTCTATAGTTTAAGTTTCTTTCTTTTATCTTTAAGTACTTAACTACTTTTTACTATCTACTACTTTAAAGCTTAAAAGCTAGATAGACTTAGAATATATTAGAAAAGCTTTTTAAAAGTATTTTAGTTTACTTACTTTTATTCTCTTATTAGAGATAAGCGCGCTAGAAAGAAGTATACTAAAAAAAAGCGCGCTAGTAAAAATCTAGTAACTAAGCTAGTCTAGTATTTTTAACTACTTTTACTTTTTATAAACTATTAGCTATACTTAAGTATATAACTAAAGAAGTTAGCTAACTTAAAAATAGTTTTATTATCTTCTAGAATTATAATATAAGCTAGCTCTACCTTCTACTCTAGATAGCTATTAGAAAGTACTCTAAAAGCCTTCTAATTATAATATTTACTTACTTTCTTTTACTATAGAGTTATTATATTATTAAGTCTAATTAAGAGTAGTATACTACTTATAGTAAACGCTATATTTAGTTTTTATAAAGTATTATTTAATATTTTAGAGATTTTGTATATAAGCTCTAAATATATAGATTAAAAAGTATTTAGAAGACTTTTAGAAAGCGCTCTTACTTAATAATACTCTTTAGTAGTAATAGACTAATTCTATAGTAGTAGCTTTTCTACTTAGCCTACTTAGCTATATTAGAATAAGATTTTAGCTTATTTTAGATATTAAGAAGTATCTAGCTATAGGCTTAGTATAGACCTATAGTAATAATAAAGTACTTTTTATATTTTATCTAATTTATAACTATATAACTTTTATTATTTAAAAGCTATTAGAAAGACTTATAAAAGTATTCTAGAAATCTACTCTTAAGAAGAGTAATCTAAGTATAGTACTTAGTATTAGAGATAGTAGTAAGAAGAGCTATTATTCTACTCTATATAGAGTCTACGCTATACTTAGCGTCTAGAACTATAAGCTAAATACTTCTTATAAAGTATATAATATAGAATTAAATAGTATAATAGCACTACTACTTCTAAGTATA